GAAACAGTTCATCTTCAATTCCAGAGCAAAACACACACACACACACACACACACACACACACACACACACACACACACACCAAAACAAACACACAATGCACAACCTAAGATGTACAATAAGACTAAACATGTATCTTACCATAAAACTTAAATCATGATCAAACAACAGGGTCCATCTATTTTCTGTTCATTACTACTATATACCATAGTTATTAAATTTGTTTTAAATTTGAAATTTGCTATCTCTGTAATTGCCATGCCTCTGGAACAATTACAGATTTTTAACTGATAGTTTTAATTTCTCTACAAGAAGGAAAAGAAAGTTACTGGAAGAAAAAATAGATTTTATTTCCCCTTCTCCTTATAGTGTAAATTTAGATAAAATCATTGAATGCTTAACATTCAAAAAATGGGTGGGGTGGGGTATTTTTTTCCTAAATGTCTTGACAAGATCATAATAAAAGTCAAAACTATTCTTCCTAAATGGATAATGCTTTTGAAATATTAGTCATAAATAGAGAATATTTGGAATTATTAGCATCATATCAAAAGGCCTTTTGGCCTTTTTTCTAGGTCTTCAAAGCTTTGAAAAATCATAGCATGCATTTGCTTTTATTTGCTGCCTAGATAACATTTTCCAAAGATAAAGACTGAAGATACAAATAAAACCTACAGTTCTAGCAGGCTCACTATATTTTTGCCAATTAAAAATAAATTCTCCATAAGATTTTATGCTATCTATTTAATTTTTAAAGCTATGCTTAGCCATATTTTCTTCACCTAACCATTAAAATGCAATATAGCAGCATGAAACAATTGAATGAAGTATGAACGAGTAGGGGGGTTGATCTTAACTGTTGTTTTTTTAACTATAGACTGTGTAGTTAGAATCACCATCACTATTTTTGTTGTTACTGTGAGTATATGCATATATTATAAACCTATTCATCATGGATTATTCAGCAGTATAACGACTCTGAAAAGGATACTTTCAAAATTCTTCAAATATTTCTTTGAAAACCTTCTGAAGAAAGCATATTCATTTCTTCTACCATACCCACTTCCTATCTCTGATCTTTACCGATCTGAATACTACTCAACCAGAGAAAAACACTGCAAATGGAATAAGCTCTAGGCTAGATCCAAATTTGGCACCAAGATTAATCTTTTTCTGGGAACTGATAAAGAATTGTTTATTTGCTGTGTGCTGGTTGAGATGTGTTGCTACAGACTTTACAGTAGATACTGAAGCCTTCTAAAAGTTACAGCTGCATTTCAAATTAGCTCATCGTTCCTTACATGGTGTAATTTTAGCTGAAAAAGTTCCAGGATTACAGCAAATTTCATTGCTTTTAATGCTACAGTGCTTAGTGAGTTGAGATCTGTTTCCTTTGGCTGTCTCTTGTTTGTAAAAGATTGGCAAACTAAGCTTGCCATATTTGGAAAACTAATCCACTCTGAGAAGTAAATCTAACTACAACATCATGCTACACAGTGCCAGGCAGATAAAGTCTGGGTATTTGGGTTTTTTCTTCCCTTTCATTGACCTATAAAGCCTAACATTAGGCCCTAAATATTATGAATACAATCTGCACAATATATAATCTCAATCAATCTGATCAAGCTACTGGGTATTGTGTGAAACATAATACAGATATAGACTGTAAGCCTTTTTTTCTTTCATGTTGGTATAATCAACGGGGGTGTATTTATTCTATATTTGAATCTTTTAAATCAGATAAACTGGCCAGTGATATGTTCCCTGAAGGAATGAGGCATGAGGCACCTGAGGTAAGTCAACAGCAGTCTTTATTAACAGAACTGTACAACAAGCAAGTTAGCGGTAGACAGGGACCTCCCCCNGGGAGATTGATTGATTTATAGTCTCTCTTGGGCTTCGAATTTGAGCTTCCTGTTCCTGTGACAAGCTATTGGCTGCTGTAGGGGTCATGGATAACCTTGTAGGTTTTCTGAGTCAAGCTTGGTTGATCACATGCACGCCAGGCCCCTTTGTCCCTCAAAAGTCTCTTGAAGTTTGTCCAAATTCATGTTCATTGCCTCGATGACACTACCCAGGGGTGGGCTGCTACCGGTTTATCCGGGTTCGGGGGAACTCATAGGTAACATTATGGCTAGTTCGGAGAACCTCCAAATCCTACCTCTGGCTGGCCCTCCCAGGAGTCTCCACACAGCCCGTTTTGGATGCTCGTGACCCGTCAAATGCGCGCTCGACAAAAGTGTGCCGACAAAACTGCGGCGAGAAAACAGCGAGGATGAAATCGCGCCCACAGAAGCGTGCCGATAAATGTACGCCAACGAAAGCGCGATTAGGGTTAAGGTAAGGGTTAGAGTTAGGGTTAGGGTTAGGGTTAGGTTATTACGTTGTTTTCACGTTGTTTGTTGATGGTGCGCTTTCGTCGGCACGCATTTATCGAGCGCATATTTGTCAGTGGACCTTGGATGCTAGGTAAGTGCAGGGCCTGTGTGGAAGCTCGGTGAGTGGAAGGGCCTCCAGAGCCTGGGGGAGGCAGTTTTTGCCCTCCCAAAGGCTGAAGGAAAGCTTCTGGAGCCCCGGGAAAGCAAAAATGGTTTCCCCTCCATAGTGACGGAGGCCAACTAGGCAACCTCCACCATGGCCACGCCCACCCAGCAACCAGGCAGAGAACCCGTTGCTGAAATTTTTGAAGCCCACCCCGATACTATCTAACCATCTCATCCTCTGCTGTCCCATTCTCCTTTTGCCTTCAGTCTTTCCCAGCATCGGGGTCTTTTTCACGGAGTCTGGCTCTTCATATTTGGTGGCCAGAGTATTTGAGCTTCAGTTTCTGCACCTGTCCTTCCAAAGAACAGGCAGGGTTGCTTGCTTTTAGGATCGACTGATTTGATCTTGTAGTCCAAATGACTCTCAAGAATCTTGTCCAACAAATTCTCCCCTAACCCAGATGAAGTGACTTTAGCTTAGTCACTCTGTTTTTCAGTGGTGGATTTCAAAATTTTTTGGAACCTACTCCGTGGGTGTGGCCTCTTTTATGGGAGTGGCTTGCTGGACATGTGACCTGGTGGGAGTGGCTTGCCGGACATGTGACCTGGTGGGAGTGGCATTCATTTGCAGTTTTTTTACCCACCTCGGAAG